AATCTGGCAAAAAATTCAATTTCTGTCTGACAAGAGAAAATCCAGAAAATGGAAACAGAAACTAAAGAAGAAGCAGAGCGACAGGAGAAGGCCATTCAGCCCCCTCCTCAAGGCTGTTACACAGGAACAGGCCATTCAGCCCCCTCCTCAAGGCTGTTACACAGGAACAGGAGGCCATTCAGCCCCCACTCGAACCTGTTACGTCGGAACAGGAGGAGGCTTTTCAGCCCTCTTCTCAAACCTGTTACACAGGAACAGGAGGAGGCATTCAGCCCCCTTCTCGAGGCTGTTACACAGATACAGGAGGAAGCCATTCAGCCCATCAAGACTGTACTGCATGAAGTTGAAGGCATGTTCTTGAGGAGACCCTCTGTTGCCGAGCAGGTGGACAGGGTTCTGGTGTCAGCTTTTGTCAGGCGTGGGGAGATGGAAATGCGTTGTTGAAGAAAACAGAAAGCACACAGAGGAATGAGTCTGTCAGAAGGCAGTCTTAGGAGCCTCTGACTCTGGGACCACCCCCTGGGAGGTGTCAGGGAGAGGTGCAAGGGGAGCCACCTCATCCACTGGAGCCATATCATTCTCACTCCTGGACTCAGAGACTGTGCCGTTCAGCTCCAACGGGGCTGGAGAAGAGGGGAGTCCTGGAGCTCCAGCGTCCTGGGGAGCTGGGCTTCCTGAGCTCAGGCCATTGGATAGGAGAGGCTCCCGCACATCTGGTTCCGCATCCGGACCCTTTTCCACATCCAATCCCCGGAAAAGCAACGACGTCGGGACCTCAGACTTCCTCTTGAAAGTCGTCAGGGAAAGGTGTTTGGAGCTCAAATCCTCATCTTTCTTGTCCTCAGTCGCCTCATTCAGCTCTCCATCCTCAGGGAGTGTGACTGTTCCTGCCCAGTTATCATCCAATTTGCCCTTCTTCTTCCCTGGCTGGGGCACAAAGGTCTGCGAGTTTCTCCTCTTCTTCCGGGCCAGGCAGATGATGATGAAGACAATGAAAATGACAGCGAGGATCAATATCACGATGATGACTATATACGGATTGAAGCCTCCCGATTGCGCAGACGGAGGGACAGACAGCAAAGTCGTTGAACTGGCAGCAGAGGTTTGGCTGGAATCGAAGACCGGGCGGTGACTGGTTGAAGATTTGGAGACTGTGGAGGGACTGGACTGAGTTGAAGATTCAAAGACTGTGGGGGCACTGGACTGAGTTGAAGATTCGAAGATTGTGGAGGGACTGGACGGAGTTGAAGATTCGAAGATTGTGGAGGGACTGGATGGAGTTGAAGATTCGAAGATTGTGGAGGACCGGGACGGAGTTGAAGATTCGAAGATTGTGGAGGAACGGGACAGAGTTGCTGACTGGCTTGGTTGAATGATTGAGGAGGTGGCCGCAATGCTGCCTGATGAAGAGCTCTGAGTGAAGATTTGTGGGATGGCTGTACTCTTGCTGAGTTGTTGCAAGGGCATGAACTCACCAGCAGTCGAAGATATCACTTTCTTGCTGATGTAGACATCTTGCTCAGTTTGGACAAAGCTACGTAGGCTGGAAGCGCTCACAGGAGGGATCAATGAATCTGAACTTGAGGAAGCCATCAACGGATATATCATTTGGGCATGAGATGGGGTCTGAGCAGAATCTGCTGTCACACTGACAGATTCAGGAGACTTCAAAACGGGCAATGCGGTGATCCCATTCTGACTCAAAGCCAATAAAAGAAGATTTGCAAAGTTCCAGAGCAAGAGGAAAGCCCGTGGAGATAACATGATGGGACATTAATGAGGGCCAATACACATCGATGAGGAGCAGATTGCAAAAATCCAGTGTCATGGAAACACTTCCAGAAGATGCTGGAGCTGCAGAGAGAGGGCAGAGGGTAAGGAAATCATTTTAGGAGGTGCGGAAATGCACTGCTACATAAAATTTCCACCCTTAACTCACACCCCTAACAATAATACTCTGGTTTATCGCAGATCCCTCACTGTACCACCCTGATATATTAACCATCTCTCACTGTAATACTGTCATATATCACACCCCTCACTATAATACTGACATATACCCCACACCCCTCACTGTAATACTGTCATGTACCACAAACCTCTCAGTGTAATGTTCTGATATACTCCACACCCCTCACCGTAACGCACTGATATACGCCACAACCCTCACTGTAACACACTGATATACCCCACA